TGTTTAGTGGTCCCTAAACGTTACTTCTAAATTTCAAATGATTTGGTGGAAACTCAAGTTTCTGAGCTGAAAACCAAGCAAGTTTCTTATTTCTCGCTTAAACTACCAGCATAACTCTGGAAAGACAAAATTAAATCTATCAAATCCGAACTGGATCTGTAGTTATCGACATTCCTAATTAAAACTAATTTGGTGGAAGCTTACTAAAGTTATTGTGCAGAAACCAAAGCACCAGTTAATTTCCACTTTGATAAAGAGGGTAAATGTGAAATGACAATCGTGAAATTGGTCAAATTCGTACTCGATTTGTGTTTTGTGGACCCTAAGAATTTCAAACGCCATGGTCAACTTCAATTCCATTACTCATCAAAATCCATACTGGACATTTGATACAAGGACTTGTGTGCATGTGAGTAGTGTGATGTGCGCAAAAAATCCAATAAAAAAAAATTGATGGTGGAGGCTTACTCAAATTAACATCTGGAAACCAACTCCAGGGAGTATGGATGAGTAGGTGTGATATAAATGTTAACTATATGACCCTGTTGCCTTTAAAGGGGGAAAGGGTGGGGGTGGGGTGGGGGTTTGAAGCATAAAAATCCGTATTTAAAAGATTTTATCTAGAAACAAAGATTTTGTAGAATTTCATATCATTGATTGATTGATTGTTGTTTGCTTAACGTCCAAAGAATGTCAGATTATTTGTAGCTTAGATAAGAAATATATGTGGGTTATACATCAATGTGACATGTGGCAGCTGACCCAATGACATAAATAACCATAAAGGCATTTGAAAGCAGAGTCTTCAACGATAGTCAGGTGTCCATACAATGTGTCAAACTCAAAATCTTTCTGAGTCTAAACAAGTTGTGAACCCCATGACATAAATAACCAGAAAGGCATTTAGAAAACAACATAAGAGTCTTCAACGATAGTCAGGTGTCCATACAATGTGTCAAACTCAAAATCTTTCTGAGTCTAAACAAGTTGTTAACCCCATGACATAGATAACCAGAAAGTCATGTAGAAAGCAACAAAGAGTCTTCAACGATAGTCAGGTGTCCATACAATGTGTCAAACTCAAAATCTTTCTGAGTCTAAACAAGTTGTGAACCCCATGACATAAATAACCAGAAAGGCAGTTAGAAAACAACATAGAGTCCAGGGGCGGATCCAGCCATTTATAAAGGGGGGGGGGGGGGGGGTTCCTAACCCAGGATAAAGGGGGGTTCCAACTATATGTCCCCATTCAAATGCATTGATCGTCAAAAAAAAGGGGGGGTTCCAACCCCCGGAACCCCCCTGGATCCGACACTGGAGTCTTCAACGATAGTCATGTGTCCATACAATATATCAAACTCAAAATCTTTCTGAGTCTAAACAAGTTGTGAACCCCATGACATAAATAACCAGAAAGGCATTTAGAAAACAACATAAGAGTCTTCAACGATAGTCAGGTGTCCATACAATGTGTCAAACTCAAAATCTTTCTGAGTCTAAACAAGTTGTGAACCCCATGACATAGATAACCAGAAAGTCATGTAGAAAGCAACAAAGAGTCTTCAACGATAGTCAGGTTTCCATACAATGTGTCAAACTCAAAATCTTTCTGAGTCTAAACAAGTTGTGAACCCCATGACATAAATAACCAGAAAGGCAGTTAGAAAACAACATAGAGTCCAGGGGCGGATCCAGCCATTTATAAAGGGGGGGGGGGGGGGGGGGTTCCTAACCCAGGATAAAGGGGGGTTCCAACTATATGTCCCCATTCAAATGCATTGATCGTCAAAAAAAAGGGGGGGTTCCAACCCCCGGAACCCCCCTGGATCCGACACTGGAGTCTTCAACGATAGTCATGTGTCCATACAATATATCAAACTCAAAATCTTTCTGAGTCTAAACAAGTTGTGAACCCCATGACATAAATAACCAGAAAGGCATTTAGAAAACAACATAAGAGTCTTCAACGATAGTCAGGTGTCCATACAATGTGTCAAACTCAAAATCTTTCTGAGTCTAAACAAGTTGTGAACCCCATGACATAGATAACCAGAAAGTCATGTAGAAAGCAACAAAGAGTCTTCAACGATAGTCAGGTGTCCATACAATGTGTCAAACTCAAAATCTTTCTGAGTCTAAACAAGTTGTGAACCCCATGACATAAATAACCAGAAAGGCAGTTAGAAAACAACATAGAGTCCAGGGGCGGATCCAGCCATTTATAAAGGGGGGGGGGGGGTTCCTAACCCAGGATAAAGGGGGGTTCCAACTATATGTCCCCATTCAAATGCATTGATCGTCAAAAAAAAGGGGGGGTTCCAACCCCCGGAACCCCCCTGGATCCGACACTGGAGTCTTCAACGATAGTCATGTGTCCATACAATATATCAAACTCAAAATCTTTCTGAGTCTAAACAAGTTGTGAACCCCATGACATAAATAACCAGAAAGGCATTTAGAAAACAACATAGAGTCTTCAACGATAGATAGGTGTCCATACAATGTGTCGAACTCAAAATCTTTCTATACAAGTTGTGAATATATTCAACAATCAAAAATCTGCTATCAACACCCAATTCTCTGAATACGAAAAACATTAATAGATGACATTCGACTACTACTGAAAAGGTTCCCGACTTTGGATAGGCACATGAAAATGTGGCAGAGTGAAGTTACTGTATGTTTGTGTAACTATGACCTTGACCTCAAAATCATAGGCTTTTGACCTTTATCTATAATTCTATTGTATAAGTACTGTTGATATCCAACAAGTAATCATCAACAAACACTAAACTGCACTTATTGTATATATACCTGTGACCTTGACCTTTGACCTGAAAATAGATAGGACTCTTGACCTGTACCTATATATTCCCACTCATTATAAGTTTCTTTTTATTTCAAAAAGGAAAACTCGTCAACCTTTAACTTATTTTTATCCCCTTTTCAATCTGTTATCTTTATAACTTTCATTCCAATCCATCAAGTGAAACTCAAGTTAATATCCAGAACTATTTAGTTCAAACAAAATATATGATAATATTTTTATAATAAGCACCTTTTTACCTATTGATCATCAATTGGATTTTTATCCTTCCATATATCTTCAATCTATGTTTCATTCTAATCCATCAAGTGATAATCAAGTTGATATCCAGACAAAAAGCTTTTTTTAATTTTTAGTAACATAGACCTTGACCTTTTTGATCCAAAAATAAATAGGCTTCTTTCCCTTCCAAATATCATCCATCTATTTATAATTCCTTACAGTCCAGCAAGGGATACTCAAGCAAATATCCAGAAACCATTTGGTTTGAACAACAAAGAGTTCTATATTTAGTAACATCGAACTTCACCTTTGAATCCGAAAATCTATATACGTTCCCACTTCCATATAAACAAGTTTCATTGAAATCAAATACTCAAGTTATTACCCTCAAAATGTTAATTACATCCCCACAGATAAACGAACTGACAAAGAGACAACTATATGCTAAGAATTTTTTATTCCAGAGCAGCTGGATACGACCGCAGAGGTCCAACCCTGAACAGTTGGGGCAAAAATGAGCACAATATTCGCGCTTGATACAGGTCTGAATTTGGATTGTAATTAAATATTTGACACATAAAAGGTTTCTGACACAGAATAACTGTAGTCAAAGAACTTAGAATTGGTTATATGATTTGAATTTATATTCAATTTTTTGCTTTTGTGCAATACACTTTGCTGTTGTGAATTGACCTCCCACCCCCACAAAAAAAAAGAAAAACTTACCCCCTTTTTTTTTGCTTTTGTGCAATACACTATGCTGTTGGGTATTAAGCCCCCCCCTACCCCCCACAAACACTTTTTTTTGCAAATAAATTAAAATTTGAAGAATTTTTCTTTTTAATTTCTGAAATCTGAAATGAGAAAAAATTGACCCCTCGCAATTTCTTTTTACCCACCCCCCTTTTTTCCCCAAAAAAAAATTCTTTCCCTCAAGATATGGTCATAATCTCAATTCAAATTTCCAATGGAGTTTGCAACCATAATTACTCATTTAAATTTACCATAGTGCTTACTTAATCTTTTTTATAATAGAATTTAAAATATGGTGTCAAATCTTTCATATGGATTTTTTGGTACAAAAAAAAGATGCAACATTTGCAGATATTTTTACTGGTCTTCATTATAAATATACATTTCTTTAAACATAATTTAAAAGCAGTGTAAGGGAGGTAATCAAAACGTTGTATTTGGATTACCTCCCTTCCACTGCTTTTAAATTGTCTTAATTGTTCATTAACCATTACTTTATACATAATTTAAAGCAGTGTAAGGGAGGTAATTCAAATGATGTATTTGAATTACCTCCCTTACACTGCTTTAAATTATGTTTTGTATTAAAGTATTTGTCCTTTAACCAGGACACCCCTGTTTTTCCCCCTTTTTTGCCCCTAATTCCTAAACGGTTTGAGCCATAACCCCCAAAGCAAATCCTAACCATCCCTTTGTGGTATAGAAACTTGTAGTATAATTTCAGAGAGATCCATACACCGTTCCACAAGTTATTGTCTGGAAACTAGAAAAATGCTTTTTTTTGGCCCCTTTTTCCTTAACTGTTGGTAGCATAACCCCCAAAATCAATCCCAACCTTCCTTTTGTGGTATTGAACCTTATGGTAAAATTTCATAGAGATCCATTCACTTAAACTAAAGTTATTGTGCGAAAACCAATGTGTCTTCGGACAACGACAACGACGCCAACGTCATACCAATATATATAAAAACTGGAAAAACCTAATATTTTAAAGCGTATTTATAGCTGTTGTGAACTTCACTGTAAATTAAGTGGACTTCAATAAAGGTTATCTGTCCAATAGGAAATCCATCGTACTGAATACTTGTAAGTTAAAAGTTTGAACCCAAATGAAACATCCTATATCGACATACATCATCTACATGATAAACATTTATGAATTGATCAGTACAAAACACACATCAAGAAAGATAACTCATTCAAGTTATATTTTTTATTTTCAACTTAATTCAAAACTCCTAACATCCAGTAATTGCAGTAACTATCCTTGTAATAAAAAATGAAGGGACTAGATATTCGTAATAAAACAGATCTGATGATGATTATATAAGATATGAGTATTGTCAGTTCAATAAAACATCTTGTCCTGTAATTGACAAATATGAAAATGTTTCACAAATGTATAAATTATAAATAATTACATATATATATATGTATAAATATGATTGATATTATTATATGAATATTACATGGTTCCATATAAGCACTACAGGATTGATATAAAATCTTTCAAATCCAGTTTACATTTACTAACAAGAAATAACATTATTATTGTTAAGTATCTGCCAACCTTTTATGTAGTAGGTAATTTACTCAATGTATTAAGCAATGCATAAGATAAACCAGAAGAAAATTTTCCATACAACCTTAATAATTATTATAAACAGCTTTAAGTACAATTTTCTTAAGAACAGACATTTCAAAATAGTTTTCAAGCATTGTTTTTTTCCACTTTTGATTATATCTTTGGAGACTAACAATGTTTTTTCTTGGTTTAGCTTTGGTGGAAACCTAAAAAAATATAATAAAAAAACAAAACTTTAGTATTAAACATTATTTACTGTTATTATTTACAGAATCAAATAAAGATTGTGAAAACAGTCTGTGTGAGTAAACACTTTTGCTTTGGTAATATATCCAAAATACCTATTATTTCTTTTGCAACTCTTGGCTACAGCAGAAATTATACCCAGAGGCAAATGCAAACTTTAGAAAAGAAAATAGTGCAATAATGTTTGTTTTTAGTGTGGCCTCTTCTACAAAATAAAATGGCAGGACAAAGATGATCTAAGGGTTACACTATAACAAAGATGATTCTAGTTTCATTGTAAATAGAGTTAATAATTGTAAAATATTTCCTTTCTCTATTGGAACTGTACACGTATACCTAACAACAAAATTATTTTCATTTACCTGTGTTTAAAGTTATTGCAAATGGCTGATATTTTTGTTCGAGCATATTGTTTTTCTTTAGTTGTGTAACATTTCATACCGATATAACATGTTACTTTTATTATTCTTCCCTTAGTTTATTTATTTTGTATTTACATTGTATCATAGGTCAAATTAATTTGTTCAGTGTATGTTCAATGGTGTTAATATGTCCATTGATTGAGTTAAGCTATTTCAGTTGATATTTTATAGTGTGTCTTTCTATGTTGTGATGTTACACTATTGTTTCAGAAAAAGGGTGAAGGTTTGGTACCATTAAAACGTTTAAACCCACTGCATTTGTTTGCACCTGTCCTAAGTCAGGAATCTGATGTTCAGTAGTTGTTGTTTGTTGATGTGGTTCATAAGTGTTTCTCGTTTCTAGTTTTTTATATAGATTAGACCGTTGGTTTTCCCGTTTGAATGGTTTTACACTAGTAATTTTTGGGGCCCTTTATAGCTTACTGTTCGGTGTGAGCCAAGGCTCTGTGTTGAAGACCGTACTGTGACCTATAATGGTTTACTTTTATAAATTTTGACTTGGATGGAGAGTTGTCTCATTGGCACTCATACCACATCTTCTTATATCTAATTAATAGACTTCCATATATATTAAGCAACAAATCTTTTGAAGTCCTGTTGTGTATGTGATTTTTATTACAAATCTATTTTTAGAGTTTGATACTCTCCTGTCCAAGTATGTTACTTTCATTATTGTCTATTGGTCGGTACAGGATTAATATAGGCTGGTGTTAAGGTCTAATATTCCATATTGACAATATGTCAAACATTCACAGCATGTTGGCAAAGGCTTCCTGTAACTTTTGCCAAGGATACAGAAATACACAGTCTGATTGGGGATAATAACTCAAGACACATGCCAGAGTATGCCTAGCTCTCTGCATATAAATAACCCTAACAACAACTCTAGCTGATGGAGTCTATGTTTGGCTGTACCTTGTATACATACAATAGATTGTCAGTCATTTCCTGTTTGATTGGGGAAATTACATCCAAAGAGGGTGTTGGAAAAATACCAAGCTCTCTCCATATAAAATAACCTGGGGAACAGCTCTTTGAAAAGGGATCATTAATAACAAGTTGAAAAATTAAATAGTATAAATTCTAGATTTGATCATTTCAGTCTGAAAAAAATGATACTTATCTTGTATGAGTACATTTAATAATAAACAAAAGGATATGTGAGGAATATGTCAATGATATAGCAACACTATGACACAAATAACCAAATCTAGTGGTTAACATATATTCTTCACTAATAGACATGCATCTATACAACATATCAAAATCTAAATCTGAAGGAGTCTAAAAATGTTGTACATGACTAGTTTATACAGTTTATAATACTTTTCTATGAAATGCAAATGTTCATTGATTTGGTAATGATTAACTTTAGTACTTTGGCTAATGTAAATTATTTTTCAAATGCTAGCTAGCTTATCAGCAAGATGTAGTATAAAACGATTACACAGAAAAGTAGAAAACATACAAAACATAATAAAAGTATTGAAAACAAAAACAACAAATATCACAGCATCTATACACACTGGCAATAATAAATGATTATAAAAACATGTAAAAGTGCCCCTGTAACAACTTATAAACACCCATATGATTGACTATCACTTTAATGTGCTACAACTGATATGTTAGTCCAATTACCATTATATATCATTAGTACATACTGGAAAACTGGAAAATAAATTCCAGGGTCAAATAAAGTTTTTAATAACTCTCTTAGGTACTTTATAAATACTAGGGGCACTGAATAGATAGAATACAATATTCTATATCTCACCAACAAAAACATAAAAGTCAGATCTAGTTAGATTGATATTACTTCTCCATAAAGCTCTTGTTTATGATACCTTTTTTTACTTTTAAAATCCTGATATACTCCCATCCCCCTAAAAAAAAACACCTTATGTCCGCATATCTCCTCACAATGATGACAATTTTTATCCTAAATTCCTGGCAAACCCAAAGTCAGCACTCCGTATATGTTTTAAATGAGTGATAATTTTGATACATGTGCCTGGAAAAATGATAAATAAAAAAATCTGTTGGTTGTGCAAAAACTATGAAGTTATCTCCCCTTATACAATTAAATAAATAAATAAATATAACTGAAGAACATTGCACTTGTAATAAACAATTCATAGCACCAAATACAAAGAACTTATACAAATCAAAACTCACTCAGACAACTTCAAAACTTTACAAAACTATTTAGACAGTTGCATAAGGATTCTTAATAATTAAAAAGAACTGTTGAAGTCATTCACTTTAACAGTGGCCTGCAGACAAACCACCCATGAAAATCTGTTCAAACCAGTAAATTTTTTGAATGAATATAACATGCAAATAAGCAGATTTTAGGAGATCCTGTAATTTCATATGATTCATTTCAAACATTCCACTGGCGGCAAAGTATGCATTCAATTTTCACTTACAGCATACAGTTCACATGTAAACTATTGAAAGTGATTTTAAGAAACAATGTTTCCTTAATTATACATTTGAATAACTTGAAACATGAATTGTATGACTAGTTTGAAAAGTTTGAAGATTTTCTTCAACAGAAAGAATAGTTTTTGAATATAAGGATTTTCTTAAACAGAAAATTGGAAAATTCAAAATAGCTTAGCGAGAAAAATGGATTTTTTTCCTATGTATACACAAACTGCATACTATGGGCAAAAGTTTTACTCTTTTTTAATCAACTAAATACATGGAAAATGCGAAGAATTCTTAGGACTGAAAAAAATTATATAATTGATTATGAATATATACTGAATTGAAAATAATTCATATTTTGCTAGGTTTTAAAAACCTATACATATTTATTTCAGAATTTATTGTAATCTCCACAATTTCACAACACACATGTATTGAAAGACAGGATATATATAATTAGAATTGATCATTAAATTATTTTTTACTTTAAGTATTTATATTTTATACAATATAAATAAGCATAAAGATAAATCAAGAACCTTATAGCTCTGAGGGAAAAGATGGCCTTTGTTTACATTGTAGTCTTCTACAAACATCTTCACCATGACAATATGTAGGACTCTAAACCGCGATGGTACTCGGAACCGCGATAGTCATGCTGAAGTGTGATGGTGGCATTGTGACGCTATCTTGTTGATAGCTACGACGAAGTGCGATGGACTAAATAAACTATATTTTCAATGCTTTTCATGTCTATGTAGAAGGCAGTTTGTTTGCTTTAGGTCAACGTTACATTGTGTTACTGTAGAAGCAGTTTTCGGGTTTTTGAGTTAATAAGGGGCTTATAAACTACAGGAAACGGAGAGTGATTGGTTGAATTAACTTCTGTAGCGGATCTTTTTTTTCGAAATCTACAAAAGGTTCTAGTTTAGAACGTTGCATTATTCTCTAAATACACACGGGTTCGTAAACAGACTCTCTGTATTATAATATTACTGTAAAAGAGGAACTCATGAGAAGAACCAGGTAAAAATAAAATGTTAAGGCAGAATTATGTTCCCATGCAGAAAATCAAAGAGGACGATTTCTCCATTAATATGCAACTGTAACTAAGGACATACATAGACAATAATGAATATTTTATATACTAACTATAAAACAATTAAATAATTGCACATCTGTAGATTTTAAACAAGACACCAGGCGTCATATAGACCATCGCACATCAGCGAACGGACCATCGCACTTCTGCGCAGACCATCGCACTTCAGTGTCCCCATCGCACCTCCAAGTCCTACACAAGATTTCCATGTATTTTTAATGTCTATCTAAATATTATCATTTTGAAATAAAAGTAAAACTGGCCTTAAATCCTTATTTGCAATTTAAGCGAACTAAATGGAGCTGGTCCCATTCTTTTTTAATGTTAGGTGTATAAGTGTGTATAAGTGTAATCTGCAACCATTCTAAGCTTCCAAAAGAGGAACAAGAAGAAACTGATTGTAAAAATAATAAATATAAAATATAGTGGAATAATTTGGGACAGAATTTCCAGCAGTTGGTATAGCATAATAAAAGTATGAATTATAATTATTCTAGCGGTTGTATTGCTTCAATATTTTAATACATTTTACATGAAAAAATACCTGTTAAAACATATCTATCTGATAACCAGAGAATTAATTTCACACTGAAACTATTGGAACCAGCAAAGGAAATAAAACATAATCTAATTTTACTAGTAAATCTAATTTGGAGCATCCTGTTGTCTAACATTTTATAAAATAAAGCACAAACTTTTATTGATGAAATTGCAGAATTTATAATTTACTGTGGAACAGAATAACAGATTAACTACCTTCAAATTTCTTGCAAAAGACATGCATTTTTGAATCATGCTTGTCAACAAGTCCTTTATCATGTGTTTTACCTCACTATTGGAGTAATATTTAGACCATTTTCTTTACATAATGCTTATTTGGTGGAATTAAAATCACATATATAAATCTGATATCATTTTGTCTGTTTAATGATTATTAAGTCCCAGTGGCGGATCCTGGGGGGGTTTCCCCCTTTTTTTTTGACGATCAATGCATTTTAATGGGGACATATAGTTGGAACCCCCCCCTTTTATAAATGGCTGGATCCGCCCCTGAGTCCAGAACCAGAGGAACCTTGGAACACTCAAGACATTGAAAGGGTAGTATAGTCAAAGACTACTTTCCAGTCATCTTTTCCTGAAAAGAATAGATATCTTAAAATCATGTAGAAAGCTAAATGATATTTTCATATCAATTCTCAACTCATCCTAACTTAACATTATAGCATTTTATCATAATGAATAGTAATTGCCTCTATATTCATAGTGAATTCTAGACGAGATTCACTTTGAACCTTAATACAACATGACAACAACTTCCTTCTTGATTTCTCTTGACTTAGTCATCATCATCACTACTTGACTGGTCCTTCTCAGGGATTTCTGTTTCTCCTTTTTCAACCAGTAATTGTGAAGGATTTGTCGATATACTGTAATCCATGTCACTCTCTGTTGGACTTACTACATTATTCACATAGTCAATGTGATTTATTGCTGCAGTGTATTCATATTTGGCAACATATCTGACCCATTTATCTGGGGGATTTGGATTTTCTACTGAGATTGACCTAATTTGAGTTTGTGATGCTGTACACGATGGCATAGTAAAGCGAACTTCAGCAGTTTGTTCAAATGTCTCTGGAATAACGTCATGAGTACTAAGCTCTAAGGAAAGTTTGAACAAATGATTTTTGTAAGCACCTGAAAGAAAAATTTATATATTTCTTATTAGTGCATAGTCAAGGTACCATATGAATTCCACTAAAACAATTCTTCAATTGCTCCTAATTATTGAAATGTAAAGTTACTTAAAAAGAAAAATTCAGATTTAAAAAGATTGATTGGTCAAAGTCAGAGCTCAAAAGTAGATAAGTCTTCCTATTTTGACTTCTGTAAGTCAAAATGTGTATATGTGATGAAATAAATGTTTGATTTGTTAGTGTCAGTTTCTGTTTTCAGCTAGTTTTTCATCAATAGAGGATTTTTTTTCTTCAGTTTGCCATCTTAATACTTAATCTTTGATCACAAATTATTTGACAAGATTTCACACATGATTATCAGAAATCTCTGAGGTGGAAAAGTAATAGAGTACAGTATTTTTCAAATGGTAAAATTAGTGTTTATTATGCACATCTTCGAACGTTCCTCATTTCTTTTTTCCAATTTTTCTTTGTGAACAATATATTTGTAGTATCATCTGGGCATTTGTCCCACTGTTTAACAACTTTTCACTTATTCACCATCACTATTAAAGTCAACTTTGGCTCATTAAAACAAGAGGTAATTCTTAAATTAAACACAACACAAAGTTGACCTAAGATGAATTTGTCTATGTTTGTATGTCCAATTTGTCATTTATAGCTCTTCATGTGTTTAGGTCTTCTACATCCTTGGCTTGCAAATTCCTGATGAAGATTAATCTAAAAAAGTGCTTTAGACGCAAAAAAATGATTAAAGTGTTTTTTTCATTGGGAAATCTAAACATGTTTTGAATTACTTGTTCTGAGGTCTGACTGTTTAACATCCAGCAACACATGTAACATACATATTCAGGACAATTACATAATGAGATAAGAATATACCTTGCTAGACTGACATGCTAAATCAGATTTTTAAATATACAGGCTCACAAGGTAACAGTCTGCAGGATGACATGTCACCCTAACAGGATAAATTAATCTGACTTAGCCATCCAGTCTTTGCTCTCACTCCTTAGTTCCAAAGGCTCGTTGAGGAACAGCAAATATCAATTTTAAAGTCCTTCTTATAACCCAGAAGAGTATCAAAACTAAAACCCTCCTGCAATCAATAAGGATTTATGTAGGCCAGTCCTGGGACTCACTATTTTAAGCCATGACAAGCCAAACAGTGGAAAGAAAAGCAAAATCCTTGACATTTTGGCCTTTATTCATTATTTAAGTCTCTATCATAAAATAGAGCAACAAAAGAAATCAAATCAAGCTAATAATATGAAATTATGATAATTGGACTGAGTTGATATAACATTGTACAATACTGATGCATCTTTGAACTCATCAGCTTAGCAAATGATGAGTCCAGACAATTGTTCATGAGTCCCAGGATTCATGAACTGGTCTTACTGAGAACCCTGAATCAAGACCAATGATTTTAAAGAAATAGCACTAATACACTGCTAATAATCTGTAAAACCATTGCAGAGACTTCAATGATTAGAAAATTCCTTTTCACATGTAAATATGCATGTTTTTGAAATTGCATAATACATGTACTAAAGAAGCCCTGACTGATTATGCAAATTTGAATACAACATTAGTCAAAAGCCTGTTAACAAGGTTGAGCAAACAAGAACTTCTATAAATCTAGTTAAAATCAAACTCATTATAGTCTACAAAACAGAACAAACAATTTTTTTACAACTGACAAGGAAATGTTCCTAATTACTGAAATGTTTATTACTGGTATATTACCATACTACCAAACTGTGTTGACCTATCATGCATAGTTACTAAGGAGAAGATCTAATCCAGAAAGCCTAATGTGGTCACTTGAGAGTAGCAATGAGGCAAAATATATATGAAATATGTCAGACAGTCATATACCTTTACACACTAAATATTTGAATTACCATGTATAGTTTTCCAGGAATATATCTAATCCTGAAACCGAAACTGACAGTTGGAGCATGAAAATGAAGTCCAGTCCATTACAGACAGACTTGTTCTTTTCACAACCAATTCACATACCAAAATTTGTTGACCAATATTATGTATAGTTAATGAGAATCAAAATGTTATGATGAAAAACTTAACCTGATCACTGGCGTGTGAAAATGAGGTCAAGGTTGTATCATAAATGTTGTGATCTAAATTTCAGACAGGCAGTACATTGCAAACAATTCTATAGACTAAAGAAAGTTAATCTTCTTCATCCAGTAACTAAAAAACATATTCATACGTGAATATCTAAACTATGAAAAAATGAGGTCAAAACCAGGTGATTCAAGCAAAAATAACATATACATATATACATATACACTTATCAAATATGTTTATTATTACTTGCACTGAGGTAATTTTATATGGGAGAGTGACCAAATCACAAAAAACATGTAGTGCATGCATTACTGAGGTATCAAATTTAGAAAGCGACTGGACATTGAGGGTATATTGGATAGTGAAAAAATTTAGCCTTGCAACAGGCCATCTCAGACCCCTCAAAAGAGTAGTTGCAAGAGTTGTTTTATGCACAGACAGCAAGGTATTGTTCCTACAAGGGACTGCAGAGGCATCAGATTTAAGGTCAGCAATTTTGACTAGACAAAGCTGCAAATTTATACATCTTGCATGGCCAAACAGATGCCACACTTTGGGGAGGGGTTTAACTGCTGTGAAGTTCCAAAGGTCTGGGTTAAAAACAATAAACTGTTGAAACAGAGATATGTCTCGCCTGTCAGCATAAAATTCAGTAAAAGACAATCTGATGGACAGCAAAATTGCTAATTAATTCAAAGTCGCTGGACCAACTAGTGGGCAGGGCCTCGAAATGGTTGACAAACTGAGATGTACAGACAGCAATGTAACTTTATAGAAAATATTGTTAACTATTGTAAGTAGTTCCTATGAAACTAAACATTGAAAATTGTTAATTAATTGAAAGTCACTGGACCATGACCTAGGGGCAGGGCCTTGAAATAGTCCTCAAACTGATAAGTACTGATAGTAATGCAACTTTTTAGAAAATATCATTGATCTAACACAAGTAGTTCCTATCAAACTGATTTAAGCAGAAAACTTAACATTGAAAAATGCTAATTTATTCAAAGTCTGGACAATGACCTAGGGGGCAGGGCCTCCACATAGTCGTCAAACTGATATGCACTGATAGCAATGCAACTTCATAAAAATATCATTGATCTATCACAAGTAGTTCCTATCAATCAAACTTAACATTAAAAATGCCTAATTAATTCAGTCACTGGACCATGGCCTAGGGGGCGGGGCCTCAAAATAGTCATCAAACTGATATGTACTGATAGCAATGCAACTTCATAAAAAATATCATTGATCTCTTACAAGTAGTTCCTATCAATCTAACTTAATCAGAAAACTTAACATTGAAAATGGCTAATTAATTCATAGTCACTAGACCATGGCCTAGGGGGCGGGGCCTCAAAATAGTAATCAAACTGATATGTACTGATAGCAATGCAACTTCATACAAAATAACATTGATCTATCACAAGTAGTTCCTATCAAACTAACTTAAGCAGAAAACTTAACAATTGTTGCTGCTGTTGCCGGAAAAGCAATCCCTATGTCTTGCTTTCCGCGACTTTTATCACAGACAAGACAAAAATTGTTACCATCTTTGGAAGAATTTGTTGAAAAATGACTAAGTTCTCAAGTGAGGAAAAATAGCAAATATAATTCCATATCAATTGCATTTTTAAATGTTCTTATAGTGAGGTCCTACACTTGTGTTTCAACTGTCATTGACCAAAGGACACAGGTCTCTAAAATTAGTTTTGCTTTATTGGCCAAAAAACAATTTGAGCATCAATTAATATAGATGTCATTATATGCTTATTGATTTAAAGATTGTCTTGAATTGTATAGATTGCCATACTTATATTAGTTGTAATTTATATTGAATATATCCAACAGTTCAGAAAATATACAAGCAGCAAGCTAGTCAACAAACTTAGGCTTGTGTTTTAAAGGATGTTCGCTACTCTGTTTCAAAATAACAAACTTTTAAAAAGACTGTTATGAATAGATAGTATATAAATAAAGGAACTAAAAAAGTACAAAAAGTTAAGGGTCCGTGTGCTTGTTTTCGAGATATAAGCCATTGAAAATTTGGCGGGAAATTATTCTCTCTAGATTTTTCATACATTTAACATTGGCACATTTTTCTTTCAAAAACTATGAAAAAATAACAAGGATTTTATAAGATTTTCAAATAGGCATTTTAAACTATATGTAATAAAATTATGGAAAGAAAAGTAAGGGTCAGTGGGCAAAATTTTTAATGGCACTACATGGATAAAACCAGAGGATTCTGAATATCTTGCAAAAATTCTAAAACAAAGAGTAGCGAACATCCTTAAGTTGTATTTTTCTATAAAAAGTGGTGTAATGGTATGAACAAAAGTTATAGAGAGAAGAAAACTACCAGTAATAGTTAAAAAATAGAATATATATTTACGTGTTTAACATGTTTAAGGGTTTAAAACATAGATGGCAATAGAAAGCACTTGGTGAAGTAAAATTAAGTGGTTGCAAATTTCCTCATTTATTGATTTTTCTCAAGAATGATGCTTTAATGAACAAAGAGAAAAGATCCCAGGTCAATAAAATAATAATTACTTAACCAAGTAAGCAATTCTCTTATTGACTCTAAAAATCTGTATGCATTGAATTTAAAAATGGCAACATTTATATGCTTATCAAGATTCTTTTTATTAAAGGCTATTCAAGGAAAAAATGTATGAGAGTTCTTGGACTGAACAACATTTATTTTTATACCCCACCACCCATAATTCTTATTTTTATTTGTAACAGAATTTTATTGGTTTTGAAAAAGGTACTGACAGAATCACTGACAGTTAGTTTAATTACCTTCACTTTTTTCTGGAAGTCTAGGTATCCTCCAAACAACAGCATGATATACATTCTCATACTTTGCAACACCAACATCAGTTTCCATAAGAGTTGGAGTCATTAATCCTTGAGCTATCATTGTCAATCTTTCCAGTCCTTTGATTTTCCCGGGTTTTCTCCATGCTGATTTTAAAGAGCCATACCCAAACCGTCTTTCATATCGAAATAAATATATCCATTGTTCTGGTATTGCAAATCTGACTTCAATATTTTCACATGGAAACTGACCATGCTTCTTACTGAAAGAATGATATCCAGTTACAAGGAGGTCACACCTAATTTCAAACTTTTTCTTTTTAACTTCTTGCGTTATTGTCAACTGAAGGGGCAACTCTTTATTTTCTCGCAGTCTGACACGATATCTCATTAATTCAAACCGACATGCATCTAAAGGATGAAATCTTATTGTTCCATCTTTTTCAAAAAGTTCTTTGTTCACTGTACAATGAAATTCAAGATCTTCTGGTCTGATCCATTCTTCAGTTTTGATAGGTAGAATGTCATGACGACCTACAACTTCATTACCATCCTTTCTTTTATCATTGATGCCTAATTCTGTTGCAGGCATTCCAGTGACAAAAGCTAAGAAAAATATCCTACATCTTACTTTCTGAGATAAAATTTTACCCTGCTTATCGAGAACAGTCTTATATTCATCCCAAACCTCAGCAGATACTTCATCCTTCACATAAGTCAATGTTTTTTCACGGCGAGCATCCATGTTCATCATTGTGTCTTCTATGAGACGAACAAATGTATTTATCTCCTCCTTTTTTAAAGAACCAAATTTCATCATTTCTGATACTTGTGGTGCATGGTCAAGTATCATAGTAGCTTTTGGTTTTTTGACAAATGAAGGTTTAATTCTATCAGGCCTTATCCCAACTCTTTCTTTGTAGAAGATATATTGTATTTTTACTGTGTGTATTTTGCCGTATTGGTCATAATGTTGCAATGTAGGTTCTGATATTGAATAGCAAGGTTGCAGTATAAGTTCTTGGAGAATTTCTGCACTTTTGTCATCACGAAATATTTGAAGAGTTGGACCTTCTTTTTGTTGAACCAATTTGACATAAACTTCCTTCCAGAAGCGATTTCCTGCTAAAGCCAACTTTTTCTTTGTTGGCTGCCTCAACATTAAATGCCATCCCTCTTTTTCTAGATCAGCCTTTGCATAAAATGGTGAAAGTGGTTCTAAATTTTCTTCTTCTGGAGAATTGATATCAGTAGATATATCACTACTTTTAAAAGAAGAATCTATTACTTTTGGTTCATTTGTTTCTTCATGAAGATCTTTGAATTCTGCAAAATTTTCTTCAGCGGGAGATTCCCTATCAAATGGATTTTCCCTAGGTGGCTGAGGTGACCTACTAGGTCTAGGAGGTGGTACAAGAGCAGGTACAGTCACTGTATTCAATATTTTTGATTCACTCATGATTGGTTTTATTTTCAATCTAAATGTGTCATCATCCTCTTCGTTGTCATCATCATCATCATCATCATCATCAAAATTTGTTGAATCAACAATCAAATCAACATCATTTACATCTCCATTTTCCACCTTATCACTGATTCCTGAGTCACGCTTATCAACAGCAGTACCAAATGGATCAAAATTTTCTAAATCCGTTGAAATTTTGGTCGTGTCAGAAACAACTGAATCCAAATCAGTAAAATTAGATAAATATTTGTCACAGTCTGATAGAAATTTATGTTTAGCTGAAGCAGGTTTTTCAAGATCTATAAAGGGATTTATTGTAGATTCATCACTTGTAGGATCAAAATCTGATCCATCCATCATTAGAAAAGGATTATTTAAAGACATTTTTCTACCTGGTATAGGAACATCTGATTGAGTTATCTGATCAGCAGCAAAGAAATCCTCTTCAAATGGATTGATACTTCCCTCGAGTTGTGCATTGTCCACATTTTCTGTAATATCACCCCAGATATTTCCTTTTGTAGGTATATCAGATGTGCTGAGCATATCAGAGAAAAAGTTATTGTCACTAAAAACATCTGCTGTTTGTTGTTGAGACGTTTCCTGTCCTGTATCACACAAGAAAGGATTTTTCAGTTCAGTCCCTTGAGATTCCAGTTCAGGAGGGACATCAACAGACAGCATTCTGAAGCCTAAATTATCATATTCTCGTGTAGCAAATGCTGAAGAATCAGGTTGTAACTCGGCGTCATCTTTACTATTTATATTTTCTATGTCTTTGTCCTCCAATAAAGAAGCAAAAGGATCTACATTTGTCTGAATATTAGATGGTGGGAAAGTTATATTGGTTGTTGCTATGGGAATTGAGGGAGGGGTCAATGGATCAAACAATTCAGGCATATAGGCAGGTTTATCTTTCCTAAATGAGCCAAGAGAAACATCTGTACCCTTCATTGTATCAAGTTGTAAAAATTCATCTACCATTGAACTCACAAAATCAGAAGGAATGTGTGTCACCTTGTCCTGACCTTCCCAGAATGCTGATTCAAAGCCCAATGGTGTGGATCGACAAGATGACATTTCACTGTGAGATTGGACATTACTACTGTATAACATATCTGAACCATCAAAACTACTACATAAGCTACTTCCTTGTTGAGACTGATCTGTCCCAAAGTCTTCTAATCCGAGTAGATCTTCATTCATGTAAGATGGCGGCACTTGATTATCCACAGTAGTATTTTGTTCATCTGTAGAAAGTCCAAGAAGATCAATATATCCAGTGTCAACAGAAACAGAAGTTTTGTCTAATCCAAGTAAATTTTCACTACTTGCTCTCAAACTGTTTGCTGGTGGTTTAGGTGTACCTCTTGGAGAAATATCTGGTGTTACTTTGAGATTTGAAACTTCTTGAGAGAAATTCAATAACTCAACTTCTGTTGTATTATCATCTGCCATTTTGTATTCTGTAAGATCAAGGTCTTCACCAGTTTCACGTTTAATAAGAGACATATTATCATTTGTTTCATCAACATTTAATTTGGATTTTTCAGCTTGTTCAATATCATCATCAAAACTAGCTGAGAGTTTATGAAGTGTACTTTGAGTCTGGAAGAGATTCTGCTTTATTCGGTCTTGCATTTGCTGGAATATTTTCCATTCTTCTGACTTCTTTTCACTTATTTTCTTTTCAATATCTTGATATTCTTCAGTTAATATTTCTTTTGAAGGTGACTTTGGTGATTTAGGAGGCTTAGATGATTTGAATGGTGAACTAAATGGTGATTTTGATCGCTTCTTTTTCATAAAACCAAATCCCTTTGAAGGACTTTTGTCTCGGACACGTAGCTTTCCTTTATCTTCTTTATGTTTGCTGATTTTTTCATCATCATTTCCATTAGGGGAGGTAACAACCAAATTAGATGATTCGTCAAATGATTCTGATGACATAGCTAAGTTAAAGTTCCCTAAAATTACAAAAAATAATAAATTAAAATCTTAATATAAAATAGAATATGTCTATCAGTTTTCATAAACTCTATCTTGAGGCATAATCTATTTGTCTTTTTTTTTTTTTATTACAAATGGTAATAGTATAAACAAACAGTAAAATTATTGCAATGCACAACAATTACATACTACAGAACAACAGTATATCTCTTTTTCAGTTATGCAGGACGCAAGATTATTGTTAATAAAAAGGGAGAGGGGGGGGGGGGGGGGGAAAGGGGGAGGAATGCACATGTTTCCACCACATGCTGTGCCTGTACCAAGTCAGGATATTTAGAACATGTGTTGTTCATTGTTTTTTGTCTTTGTTTAGTATGTCTATTTTTTGGAGGAGTTGGGTGTTTGGTGTGGTTTGTTGTACTATCCAATATATTTTTGGTAATTTGTGTTATCCTCTATATGTATTATCTAAGTTTTCAATCAACAACCATCTGAGCAAACTTTTGAGCTGAATTCATGATATCAAAGACCAATGAGTTTCTCAGTGCAATATAAAATGTAAAAACAATCTGCATGACAAATATCTCAACTGAAGTGAAAGTAAGGTTTGATTATATGTAATATGTAAACTGAACTACAAGACGTGATCTGTAGTTGCCTACATCTACGCCATTTGAACTCTGGGGTGTATTATCAGTTTTCTCATTGGCTATAATAACGCATCTCCTTATTTTTATATGTTCATCTTTCAGTATTTAATAGTGGTACAATTCAATTTACTATAGAACTTTTGACTAATTAAAAGCAAGGAGAGAAATCAATTGCACAATTTCTGTGTTTGAATTGTTGACTCCACACTACATCAAACAAGTTATGCCATCATGCAATTAATCCTGGCGTTCCTGTGATGACTTTCATTTAACCTTTGATTATAAAAACATCCTTGTTTTCTAATTTGCTGTCTTTGATACTGCACAACAATGAGCAATAAATTTCCATTATTGACAACAATGTTTAAGACAAGAAAACCAACAACTCTGTTTAACAAAACAGATAGAAATTTGCAAAAATCAATAAATGGATCAGAATCTCTTTTGTATCACAAAGTGTGAGATTTACAATAATAGGAAGACCAAAGAAAGGGTGGGATACATGACAGGCCACTTGCAATATTCCAGGCAATATAGTCAACGTTTTTTTGGTTTAAAAGTCTTAAGTTTAATAAAGATTGATTAAAGTAACATCATTTTATAGGATGAACAGACTCTTAACACCATTTAATTTTCTACACTGATGGAAAATCTACAGTCTTATTGATTTAAAAACTTTTTCATGAAAATTAATTTGAGTAAAGAAACTACAATGTAATTCTTTCAATTAAACATACAAGGCACAAATCATGCTGCTTAACTGATGTTTAAACTAATTCACATACAAAGGCTTGAACATATATCATAGAATGGATAGATGTTAATCCTCTTTAAATCTTATTCTTGACCGAAAGAAGATATGCGTATAATGCTGAGCTAAATATTTACCACTACATATAAATAAGGTAAGATTACTCAGGAAAACACCAAACCTTATTGAACAAGTTATTCAAACTCGGAGGAAAACCAGTTTTGAGTCTTTTAATTCTGTGGATAAAGTAGCAAAAGACTAAAAAGTATTTGGGTATAACACTGTCAATGATTGAAACTGAAAACCACCAATTTCCAAGATGCTAATATAACAGTATTTACAATAGCAATGGCACAATGTAATTACCTCTACAGAAAAACAACAAAAAGAAAACTTTCAACAGAAAAAATATAAATCTATAAAAATACTGAATGAAAGTGTATTAGACTTTAGATATGATTTAAAAGGGGATATGGTGTACATGTATATGCCTATGAGATAGTAACCCAACAACATAAAAGACCAAAAACAACATCTAGAGGTCAACCTATGGTCCTTTACAGTAGACAACAAATTGTTTATACCACATCTCAAGCTCTCAATCTCCACACAAGAGTCTACCATAGATCTATCATCATGTAAAAGATGGAAGCCATGCTGAGAATGTCACTAAGAAAGAAACCACTGAACACATCTAAACAAAAAAACATATATAAAAGTAACAATTTCAATTACAGACAACTAAAAGAGCCAACATTGTATGGCAAGAATACCTAACCTAAACAATTAAGTCATATCAGAAATCAAGATTGTATCAATCTCTTGAATAATAAACTGTGATATGTCTCGCCTTTTTGTTATTTTGATAGTAAAAAGCAAACGTTGAAATCAAAAAAGCAATTCTTAAATATGTAAGTTATGCAAAATATTTAAAGAAAATGAACCATAACTGAAGGTACAGGGCCAAACAATCCTGGAAATGAGATGTGCCAATGCTAATACAACTGCATACCAAAAATCAAAGACCTACCTCTAGTGGTTTCCCATAAACTGACTTAATCACAAACTAATACATGTAAACTAAGCAAAAATTTCGAAGTCAATAGACCATGACTGAGGAGATGGGGCCAAATAATCTCCATGGAAATGAAATGTGCCATTGCTAATACAACTGCATACCAAATATCATTGATCTACCACTAGTAGTTCCCCATAAACTGACCTAATCACAAACTAAATACATTAAATATTTTAAGATTATTTCAGTAGTAATAAAATCAAAATTGTAATCTATTGCTATGTCATTGTTGTTGAAAGCAGCTTTGATACAATATTGCTAATTTTGTATGTTTTGCATTGAAGGACTTGCTTAACTGAGTTTTACTGTGTGTAGTGCTGTGTGTTTGTTTTATTCTACATTGGCTAGAGGTATAGGGGGAGGGTTGAGATCTCACAAAACATGTTTAACCCCGCCGCATTTTTGCGCCTGTCCCAAGTCAGGAGCCTCTGGCCTTTGTTACTCTTGTATGTTTTTTTAATTCTAGTTCATTTATATGTTTCATAGTTTAGTGTGACGTCCATTTTCACTGAACTAGTATACATTTTTGTTTCGGGCCAGCTGAAGCCCGCCTTCAGATGTGGGATTTTCTCGCTGTGTTGAAGACCCATTGGTGGCCTTGGGCTGTTTTCTGCTCTTTGGTCGGGTTGTTGTCTCTTTGACACATTCCCCATTTCCATTCTCAATTTTAACCAACAAATTGGAACTAATCTTATTGGAAAGACAAAGCATAACTTCAAGTTCAATGAAAATTTTCTTAATCAATTTTGGAAAATTACACAATATCTGCCAAAATCTACTATAATTAGTGTTGGATCCTCTGTAGGAATTTTTTAAAATTTGGTAACATGTTCAGAAATATGTCATTAAGTCGACTTTACAGTTATTGATTTTTCAACCAATAACATTTCAAGGAAGGAAAACAAAGTAAATTACATCCATGTTTCTACTGACATGTTAAACAATTTATAAATAAAAAGCGTGCGCGGGGACAAAAAAGTTTTTTGTTTTATACTAAATATTTCAAACAGACCTTCAAGGGCATTACTTATAGTATACTATAAGTTTTATAAAAAAATGTACCCTTGAGAGAGCTAATGAGGCCATTTTCCATAAATTTAATATTTCCAAGGGTCATAACTCTTTTAAAAAAAAGTTGATTGTCCACCATTTTACAACTTGTCCAAGATATTGCTGATATTAACCTATACAATTTTATAAAAATCTGGTAAGAATTGTACCCTTGAGAGTGCTAACAAGGCCATTTTCCATAAATTTTATATTTCCAAAGGGCATAACTCTTTTGAATGCATATTGGAAAAAGGCATATATAAATGAATGATAATTTTTATCCTAGTTATATTTACAGATAACCTTCACCAATTTTCATTTATAGTAAAACAGTCATGCTTGGGGTCAGATGGAAAAATTCAACCATTTAAAAATGTAACCGTAATGTACTTAAAATTTCTGAAAACTGTATAATTTTCTTATTCATTTTGGGATGACTTTCTATTTTAAAAAGAATAAAGAATTGGGTGGGCAAGTCAAGAGATTCAGACCATCATCTATAAAAAAAAAATCCCTTCTTTGATACATTTTATACAAGTCTTGCTTACAAAGTGGTGGTTTATACTTTGGTTTCATTTGTAAAAAAGGGTGGCCATTTCCCTTGGTAAATGAAACATTTAAAAGTATAATAGAAAAACAAAGGATATGGGCCTTATGTGGTATCCATCAATGACACAAAATCAGTATACCAATCTTAATATTATTTAAGTCTAAGTCAAGTTCACTGCTCTGGTCAAATTTTGAAGAATTTTTTGTACATTGAAGAAGTCAAGTGATTTTAGGACAAGTTGTATGGTAAATAAGTCTTTGAACATTTCATTTACGTGTTTTATGAAATGAATCTAATTAGGTACCTGAATTTACAAGAGACTAGCCACCTTCTAAAGTGTAGGTATATTCCTGATTGCTGACTATTTTCCTGAAAAAACTGGTCAATTTTATACCTCACTGAAATATTCTGCTCTCAATTTCAAATAATTGGTATGTTAACATGATCGTATCTATGAAAAACATAAGGAACAACAAGTATTATGGTTTCAAAATTATCAACAACACTTCAAATGATTGATTGACAGTGCTTAATGCCACTTTCAGCACTCTTTGCTTTAATGTCCTTTTATAATTAAAAAAATACACGAATATTGATCTGCTCAAAGTCATTCATAAAACTAATAAATTTTCATCACACTAAGAAAGGTGTGAAACGATGTGTCCTAAATATGAATCTTGTGGAAATGTCTAAGACAAAAGAAGATTTAAGCACCATTTACAGTAAGAAATTCTCAGACTGAAGCTTGATCAATAATTATATGTCCAAACTAATTCTATTATGTCAGATACAGGCTTTTTCAAAAGTAGCTAACAACAGAAGCTCAGTACATGTACTAATGCAGTACCTTTAAAGCTACTAACTGAAAACATCATTAATTGAAAAAAATAGATAAGAAACATTACCTCAGCCATGTTTGTTGTCTTGCCAACCTGCAG